CTTCGGTTTCCTCGGAGCGTTCGCGACGATTGCTCTTTATCCCGCGATTCGTCACGAAGAATATTTCACTACAGCAAAAAGTTGGGCAAACTTCGACCTCAACGGAGCGACTTTGTCGTTTCTGAAAATGAAACCACATAGAAAAAGAAGTGAAAAAGTAAAAAGTACAGAAGTAAAAAGGAAAGCAAATGAAAAAAATCGAATAATTTAGAAAAGCTCCTACTTCTCGGCCTCCATAAAAGCTTCTAATACCGTGGAGTTCGAGAATATCTGTTCAGCTGACTTCTTCTCCTTCATTAGGCATAACTGAGTGAATTGCTCCAGATGTGCCAGTACCTTAAATAGGTTTAGGAAGTAGTAAAAAGTAAAGAAAGAGCAAAGATAAGTAAGTAAAGTAAAACTTTGCTGCGCATATGTACCCATCAAATGGCACAGTAACCTTGGGCTATATCGAAGTAAAAAAGAAACTTCTGGTTCGAACCCTATTTCAATTCCCAGCACGAGGGGCCCATACCACACTATGTGACCAGACAATCGTAATGCGCCGCGCTGGTGGGCACGGGGAGCGACGCCGCGCCTGATGGACGACTTGTCACGCTTGGCTGTTTGAATATGCGTACAAGAGAAAGCGGTAAAATTCGATACAGCCCATCATGGAATCTTACTTTTGCTTGAATTCGTATGAGTTTCGCTGCTTCAATCGACAAACTAACTCACATCGCGAACTTGCCGCACATGACCGCGCGACACGCCGCGTGCGGTGACGCGGCAAACTACGTTTTCCGCCATACTTCTCATCCAGGAGGAAAGATCTCTACCAGCACGTGCGTTAACGGGAGATCTTCCGGTTTAAATAGAATTATTAATGCCACTGGGGATAAAAGACCCGCCATCCTCCTCTAAGGTAGCTTCTTCAAAGTCTTCAGGGAGTGCATCAGGCGAAAAGGGAGGTCTCTTTGAGGAGAAAAATAGCATAGGGTCCCAGATAATAATACTCATAACCTCAGCAGCTAAACTCAAGTTACCTGTTCCATGGATAACTTCTGTGGACTTTTCTTCGATGCTCCTTTGTTACCCCCTCCAATATGCAAATCACCAGCAGCCATTTGCTTCTTCAGCAGATTTCCCACGTTGTCAGAAACACGTTTACACGTTGATGGGTCTTCGATCAGGATCTTTAATTTACATTCTAATAAAATAAATATGGTAATCGAGTATTAACACGTGCATGAAAAACGGCTAATATTAACAAAACTCCCACCTTTATACAATCGATAGTAAACGTGTCATCAGACGAAGGCATCCGTGAAAACAATGCTCGTAGCATGTTCATGTTCGGATCGGATCGCGATCTAGACTATTCACTTTAAAATAGGAAAAGAAACATTGGAAATAAACGGGTAAGAAAGCGTTATGCAACTGTCGCTGCTTAATCCCTGCTCGGATGGATTTTGAGTCAGGGCACATTCTACCGTTGATATGTTGCAGAATACCGTAATCATGTAAGAAGCCCCTCCTCTGATGCCACCTCTCGGATCGGCGACGATGGGGAGAGCACTTTTGTTATTTAACATCGACCTGTCGAGCCATCTAGAGAGATATTACGCAAGCTTACAAGTGTTTACGGATTGGCTTGATGAGCTTGCTCAACCTCACTGGCATTCACAGGTTCCACCAGAATGTGTGCAAACTAGAACTAGTAGAGTAGCCAAAGTGAAAAAATCCCCCCACGGCCGCTGCCCCGGCCCCTCTTCTCCATCTTAGCCATCATCTTCCTAACATTCTCTCAACTTCCTACCATTATCCCGACGTTTTTTTAATACACCCAATTTATACCCAAAAACTCACAAGCGAAAACGTTTCCCCAAACGCGCATGGGATAAACGGTGAGCAGGAGCGGGAGGGGTGATGTACCGGTCAGTGATTTTATTCTTCCAGACGAATCTAGAAGAAGTTGAGAGACCCACGGACATAAAAGGCTTGGTATGTCCAAGTGGGAATCAGTCCAGACTTGACTCCCAGCTGTGCGAGCGGTGAGAGCACCATTTGCCTTCGTCCCACCTTCGCTCATTAGATAAGGACGCAAAAACGCAGATTTTGATGGGCAATTTTCAAAAATGGTAGCAAACGGGAACAATAGTCGCTCAAAAACCTACCAGCTCGCTTCAACATGAGCAGCACATTCGCTGCGGCTTCAGCATGTTGTGATGACTTCAATTTTGGCAAAAGCTGGATTAACCATTCCCCAGGGATACCTTCGGCGTGTACTGAAATAAAACGACTTCACATAGAAGGAATTCTTATCACAACAAGTTCTTACCCAAATGCCAAAAGGCCCACTGTGCAGTGGTTGGCCAATCTAATGAAGCGGAAACAATCTGAGCGAACGAATCCTTTCGGAACAATGTCACATTTTCCCTGAAGCTCACGTTTGAAGGAGGTTTTTGAAAATGGAAAAGAGGAAGAGAGAAAAAACCACGAAGAGAAAGGCTGAGAGGGAGGGGTCAGCCTTCCGATTGACAACTGAGGGAGAAGGATAAATTAAGGCCACACGAGAAACCCCTCACGCTCCTCCCTTTAACTACAGAGGGGAAAAATATCAACGAAAACCTTCGATCACCTGACAATCTCCCCCATTAACTGCATAATTTGACGAGCATCAATATGTGCACATACAACGCTGAATACCTGAAAATGAAACTGTTTGGCTATATCAATTGTAGTACCTCCGATGAAAAGTTCATCTGAATGGGCAAATTTGATAACGGTAGTACTTATTAGGGAGGAGTTTCACGACATAATTCACAGATTAACTCACCGAGGCACTAGCACCCGCTTCAACATCAAGTTTTTGAAACACGTAGGGAACCAGAAAGCCAAATAATCGATCGTCATCCACTGCGTATTGCTGAAATCAGGGGCCCAGGGTCCATGAAATCAGTGAACAAAGAAGAATGATCGCTCGCGCAGAAAGATCTAACGGCTGTTGCCGGCCTTAACGAGCACGATCATCATTAGCATTGTAAAGTTGTGAATTGGCCAAAGGCCACTAGGCGGCAAGCTAAAGTTGCGGGGCAGCTGCAAATAATGTCATCGGTTAGAAGCAGGCTGGCCTGCATCGCTGCGAAGATTTTGCACTACACCTCTGCTGGCAATTTCGGCCCCGCCTCTGGGTACGACACCACGCGTGGTGGGCTCAGGGCTACCTACTATCCGTCTTTCAGGGTTTTCGCGCAGTTTCTTAGCTTTTTCCGTTTTTCCACTAGAACTTTGTTCACAATGCAACTGAGGGCAAGGGATGTCGCCATTAAAGAAGTTCTTATGGTTGGTTCAATCATCGGAAAACGAGAACCACATAAAGTCAACAACAGGAAAAAAATTTCTCCCAATTATAAAAACTTTCTTACGGCCAAATATATTCACCCTCTCCCCAGCGACCGAATACGACCCTCATCTGGAGTTACTCCAGCCTAGACATGCCCCGCTCATCGCACAGATAAAAAGACCCAAAAGGCAGCATTTTTAATCATTAAGGATGTCGTTCAAGAGACCCGCACTGAAATTGCTAGTTTTCCCTAGGCAGGAGACTCGACATACTTCCACGTCAGGTTCCAAATGCCACTTTTGCTAAAACGTGGGCCTCCCAACCGGTACCAGGTTATCAGCCAGTTAAGAAGTAAGCCGTAAGGAGAAATGCATGAAACTAACAAGTGCAGCTCTGCATGCAAAATATCTTGAAGAAATTGAGTAAATTAGCCTGTGATGAGGACAGCGGCAGTCATCAACAAAACTGACCTGCAGATCAGCTGAGATCAAAGTCTCAATCTCTTCTTCTCGAGCTCGTGCCACATCTCGGTAACATGAAATACAGTCACTGCTTAAGCCATCATTTGCCTGAAGAAAACTGTTTGAGTAATCATAAGTATCAAAAAAATGCCAATTTCAAATACAGTAAGGATGACACAGCGTTACCGATTTGAATATAAGAGTCTTCCGGGGAACTCTAGAAAGTTCTGTGAACCCTCCAGGAAATTCTACGAAGAAGACTGGCTGGGCTACATAACTGCTTACTGTCTAGTTTTTATCTGGGAAGAACTGAAACCTCAACACTACACTCCAGCGCAGTCTTCAGGTACTAAAAGATTTTCACCAAAGTTTGAAGAAGTGCCATTTCATGAGTTGGCCCTCCCCCATCACATAATATCTGTCAATCCTCCCTGTTCCTTTTTTTAATCCCTCCTTCTTTTCCTTTTCTTCTTTACCCCTCCCCTC